AATGAAATTGGCATACTAGAGTGTATCTAAGTTTAGTATATAAATCTTATAAGATAAATATTAATATATATTCAAGTAAAATATATTACACTGTATTTTTTGGTAATTTATTTCAAACTAGTATTATATATGATATGAATCTTATTATATCATATATTTTTGATATTTAGTTTCTTAAAGTATATCCATAGCTTCAGTTAATATTTTATTGTAATTGAGCTAACGGTGGGTGAGATATTAGAGTTTGATAAATGTTAGATTAGTATGGGATACACAGGTGGCCGACTGGCTTGCCTGGCCGACTCGCTTGCCGGTTACGTTATAATTGATTAGTCAGGTCATCATATGCTAAGATAACTAACTGACAGTAGCGTGCGGGTCAGCTATCTACATGATTCTATACAAAGAGACAAGTTCTTTTTATGATAATATATCTTAACCAGTGTGATAATTATCACTATATATATGTACACATATAAACATATTCATCAAGTTTTTCTATAAAATTCTCTGATCAGAGTAGAATACTGTTTTATAACTTGAAGAATTTTTATATTCTCAAAAAGTTATACGCTTCATAAATACGAAGGACTACTGATAACATGAAACATTCTTTTCATAATCTTCAAAGTTCATAATAGCATCAAAGAAGATCTATTAGTAATTCTGATATAGAACAATGACTTGTATATGGTATAACATACGTGACTGACTCGGATGGATGGCCAGTGCGGCCGTGATAAATGTTAACTAACCTTTTTGGTAATTGATTGTCAATCAAGATAGTACTTGAGCTACTGAGCATCAGTAAAGAAAAATGGTTCATCTTCATGTATACACTTATTGAAGCTTACTACACTTGGTTTGACCAATGATAACTAACTAGCGCTCGAGTCGCCCTACATGTTTATGCAGAATCTGAAGTGGTGGTACGTAGTTTGGCTGGCGGCACGGACTTTGGCCAGGTAGAAGGAAGATATACATATCCATATTGAGACGCCGTAGTGTTCATTTGATGCCCGCATCAAATAACCCGTTGCGAAGCTGAACCCTCTATATGTGGTCTCCGAAAGTACTTCATGAACCTAAATTAATCTGTAAGAGACCGTCTGACAAACACACCAAACCATGTCTCTCGCTGGTATCTCACAATGGCTTGAGGGCATAAAGTATAACAGGGTATTGAGGTTGATTGGTACGCTTCGGGATCGGTGGTCTACACAAGCCAGTTGAGTTACAGCCAATGGACATAAGGTTTGCTAACGGGGACCAAGTGCCCTTTGACTGAACAGATTAAGATCTCTAATATCCATGGAGATAGCAGTCCATTGAGACCTCACAACATCGTACTCCCCCTTCACCTCCACTCTGCACACCCCCCTAGGGCCTCGTATACCAATAGGACCAGAAATGTACATGACACCGCGACGAGATGTGTGCGCGTTGCGAGCCCAGCAGTAATTTAATCGCCACTTGAAAGCCAGCAGCGCCATACGTAGGTCGGAACCAGACCCAAGGTTTGGCAGCGGTAATTTCTGCAACGCAGTAATGCACAGTGAAGTATGTGGACGGGAGCAGTCCCTGGTCGACGGGCTGCCATCTTGGAAGTTCAGGGGAGGTGGCTGTGACACAAACCGAGAAACGTCGTCAAGTCCATCCGATCCTTGCAATACTGAGGGCAATAAATTTGCATCTAGAGGAATAAAAGACCCAGACACCTGCTCATCCATCAAACCTGGGCTAAGTCGGGAAATCTGTCTGCTCCACAGAACCAAAAAAGCATCCTTAATTGCGTGTGCCACACTTAAAGGCCTCATGCATCTGTGTAGGCAGTCGCCGTCTTCTGCAGTTATTGGCTTCGAAACCCAGGCGAGACCATTCTGAGATAGTTCTAGTCTGTACCAATGAGCAAAATATACTGTACTAATCAGGACATACATACCCAGATCGATAGTATACAGGGGGTGCACGGTATGGAAATCGGTGTTCCAGCCAAACTCCTGCGACAGACAGTGGCCCCCCCAACATATAATTAAGTAGTCGTGTTTGGGATGAGACGTCCAAAACAGCCGAAATTAACTCATCTATATGTTCATGACTGGTTAATTTCGAAATGACTGAAGGACCATCTGCTCGCAAATACCTTTCAAACCCGAGAGCTTGTTCTTGTCAAGGGCTAGTTTCCTAAACGCTTGCCACTCAGGGTCTGTCGCTACATAAAAGTTTCCTTCCTGTAAGCGAGGCCAACTCAGGGGAAGGAAGCGAGTTTGTATAGTAGCGGCATGTTCTGAGTGGGGAGGAACATATTCGTCCGGGTCAAACTTCCCAGTCCTGGACGAGGCATCGAGGCCTGGCAGATTCTCCGGTGACTGATCAGTATCGTAGAGCGACTCATCAAACCGCAGGATAGCGAGTGAAGTTAAGAGATGAAGCGCTGTCCCACACAGAAAAAAGGTAGCTATGAATTTCCTGAAGCACTTGTGAGTAAAGGAAGTAATACCACGACACCTTTGAACTATGAGCTGTTCAGCATACCTGGCCCATGGGCGTTTAACCTGTAGTTGACGAATAGTGACCGAGCTTGAATCCCGAGGTAATGGTTGGCTTATCCGGAATGTTACCTGGGATTTTCGAAGTATTCGTCTAGCATGATACATTGAGAGAACTCGGCCGCCGGTTTCGATTATTCGAGAAACATTTCAAAACATCAATCGAGCTAAAAACCAATGTAGCTTTATTGCCCAATTTGCTGGTATAGGTTGTGACGGATTAAACCAATCGACCAGGGCAAGGCTTACGCCCAGCAATTTTCAGTTTCAGACTCAGAGAGGTATAGCGAATACCGTAGTATTAATGATTTGTAGAAATACTTACCACTGCCATAATATAAGGAGCAGAAAGTGTTATTCCGCGTTAGTAGGCCCGGCCGCTGTAGCACGTGAGCCAAGCCATCTTATCAGCCATAGAGCTTCCCCAACTTCACATGATGTGCGGAGTACTGAGATAATGTGTCCTGATGTAGCTGGTCGTTTGCCTAAAAAACATCAGCCATTCTCCACTGTAATATCAAGCTATCCAACTTGATATACTTTAAATTTTATTTACATTCTATAATCCTACTCACGCCAAAGGGTGACCAAGGGTTGCATTGACGAGGCTCAGATGGCCTGGGCCCATACCAGTGTTGCCATCCCACACGCCTACAATGCATCCTCTACCCCTATGCCCTATTGCTATTCTTCGAACACATCATGTCATAACGCAACCAACTTTTGCTGCGCACACGTATCTTATTTCAAGTAACCCCTGGTGGGGTGGCTGCTACTGATTGTTATATATGGACGTTCAAAGAAACCAAAGGCAGAAATCTTTGGGGCGCCACACAAATCTTGCATTAGGATGGATTGACATGCCAAAAAATGGAGACATTCGTTACCGATTTTCTCTCATCCTCGCAATTGGGGTAGCTTTTATAGTGACCATTGGTGCCGCCTTCAGGATATATTTTCATTCTGGACAAGATGAATTCCCCGATGGTATAACGCGGATATAGGGTCAGCGATAACGTTGAGACGACAAGGATCGGGAATGTTGCATTGTCTAAATGTCAACAATAACCATCGTCGCACACTACTCACTGAAATGGCTACCTTACCTGTCAACATGGCCTAGAAGTATCCAATATCTAACCTACAACATCCGTGTGACTTGGAGAGTAACCCTGGAGGATGAGGCAAGTGAGTAGACTATGGCCAGTATGATGAATTTAGCCATGCCGTCTGAGATCCGTGATTCCAAGTTAACGTAGGGGGAAAAACATAAAATAAAATAAAAAAAACCAATTTCATTTGAAACATGCCAACGCCAATATACCCAGCCATGCATTGCCCGCTAAAAGCCAGATGCTACCAGTTTCTCGCCTGCACAAAGTAGTCTGACCTGAACTCGAGTGGTCTCCACAAACGCCAGGATCCGTGCCAGAAAGTCGACATGTGCTGAGATCAATTACAGTGAGTGGAGATATTAGATATGACCTCAGCCAAGCAGGGACACATTACCCTATGAGGGTGCATCAATGTACTGTACAAAGCCGCAGGCGTGTGCTGCACCCTGTGCAAGGATAACCACGAGTCTGCCCAACCGGCATTCCAGATGTCGAGAGGCAGAGAACATATGAGACTTCAAGTTAAGTAATTATTTCATATAGAAGGTCCTGCTTCAAGTTCACCAAGCGTTCGGTTGTTATCTGAATAACGGACGTCTGCGTTCCTATTCGCAACTCCTCTCGATGCACGATTGCCTCGGAAACCGAAGTTCAGTGGAAAGTAAGATGCAGTGAAGATCCCTAACCTTTGGTCCCTCCGACCTGGCTGTGTAGACGAAGCCTCAGGCACAGGAGATGTGGGCTGGTGGTTAGATTGAGGCGCTCGCCAAAGGCGCAAGCGCGAGAAGCCCGCTCTGTGGGTCAAGGGGCGCCGTTGCGCATGCTGCTCCGGGAAACCCGACGACGACCGCAGAAAGTTCACTCTTCCACCTATAAAAACAGCCTGTGGCGGGTTTATAGGTGTCATTCGTGTCGTGCCACGTCGACCCTGTCGTTCTGAACTAGCAGGCAATTCAGAAGTTTCTGCGCGAGGTTTCGGGGTGTAGTAATCTGCTTTACATAGGGGACAGCAGGCCCGTCGACTTGTCAACCATGGGTCAACACAAGAAGCATGAAAAGCATGTCCACATGTAAGCCCCCGTATATCATCTTCATCCTCGATCGTATCGAGACAGATAGCACAAGTATCACCTGGATTTGCCAGGAAATCGGCAGGTACAGCGGTGCGGATATGGTCCTCAAGATCTCCAACATCCTCTACGATGACATGGTTGAGCGCGTGGTTACGGGGCTGCTCCGGGGCTGATATGTTGGCGTTGTCGTTTACTCCGATGTTTGCAGGGCTTGGCTCGGGATATCTCTGGCTCTTCTCTTCAGAATGTGGTAGCGTTGTCTCCAGGTCTTCTAGTGGTGCAGACGTCTGCGAAGTGTTTGAATCAACCCGCTGATGGCTTTTGAGTGGCGATGCCAGCATGGATGAAGGTGCGCCAAGCGAAGCAGATATCATGTAGTTCTCATCCTTGAGGCTTTCCGACCGGCTATTTGGTGCCGAAATCCCGCCTGCAGTGGAAAGGCCTTCATTCTCACGGGATGACCTCCATGCTTTATACTTGGTCAGTGGAAACCTCTCGTTGACGTCGTCCATAGTCATCAGCTTCTTTTCTCGGCGTCTTCGGTGCGTTCGTGGCATGGCGACCAGATCTATAGGCTCGCCTGTCTCTTCACTGCGTAGTTGGCGATTGCGTTGGTTATATCGAAAGCAATATTTAACACCAACGATGATCCTGGAATGCGATGGTCAGATAAGCATATTGGCGCAGCAAAAGCCTAGTGATACCAACTTGGACATACCATAGATTGGTGAAAACAACACCAAACCCGAGGGCGACGAAAAATAGTAGAGGCGAACTAGTAGGGCTTGAGCTGTTGTTATTCCCATTACGATCTGTACTAGTGGCACTGGAAGAGGAGCCTGTGGTCGTTGAGGACATGTCGACAGAAGAAGGCGATTGGGGAGAGGGGTGGACAACGTTCACTTGAATAGACTATGCCGAAGAGGGTGTCAAAGAATGGGAATTGTTGCGCGTATAGCAGCGTACTAAATGCAGTGTACCAAATTGACGGAGTAAAAAGACACTTAATTATAGATTGTCTCTGCGAGGTTGGTCGACAATCCCATATAAGTTCATCTAGATGAGGGCACCAACTCCCAGGCTCATGTTAAAGGACGCCCCGGGAAGGTCATCACTGACACCGATATATTTGGAGCTTCCAGGCTTTCAAAATGGAGCCTAATCTGATGTTGGATGCTCACCAAGTCCGATGGGGGGAGAGGAGGTGAAGTGAGAACAAATACTCCAACGTCGTGGTCGCCAAACACAGACACCTAAGACTTGGGCGTCCGAGTCACGGGGGCAGGCGATCGATCCATCATGTCGGAACCCACTGCGGGGACGGACGGGTAGTAAAATTAAACAGACACAGCCAATTCAGGAAACATCGTCATGGCCATCAGGATTCAACCACTTGTAGCGACTAGCACGAACCCAGTCTTCAACAAGGTCGATATCGCCTGCACAATACCAGCAGCGACATAAAGAGAAACCAGACAGGTGGACAGAATGGACAGCACAACTTCAACCTCGCATATAGACAGAAATCCCGTGGTTTTCTTTGATATAGCCTTAGGAGGTATGTACATCAAGTGATACAATCTGTTGCAACCCCGTTCTCCTGACCCAGTCAAGCTACAAAAGCACGTCCATTTAAAACTTGAAATGAGGTCCATCAATATGTCGATTCGCTGGTGTTGTGCTGCTACTGGTTCATACAGTATTAAAGCTTGCACTATGCAACAAATTGAATACTAAATGGATAGTAACTGAGATATCACTGTGACAGGCGAGCCTCTAGGTCGTATAAAGATGGAACTATTTGCCGATGTTACGCCCCGAACAGCAGAGAACTTCCGCCAGTTCTGTACGGGAGAAAGTAAAAATGCACAGGGACGACCGCAGGGCTACAAAAATAGCAGATTCCATCGAGTCGTATGTTCATGAGAGGAACCCAATAGGCGTTTGGATGGAGAGATGCTAATCCTATCCCATCGGAAAAGATCAAAGACTTCATGATCCAAGGTGGCGACTTCGTCAATGGAGATGGGACGGGATCTTGTACCATTTACGGTACTCCAAGGTTCTCGGATGAAAATTTCCTATTGAAGCATGATCATGCTGGCCTACTTAGTATGGCAGTAAGTCCATGAGCCACAAGACATCCATCGAACTATACAATGACTTATTTCCCTAGAATTCTGGTCCGAACACAAATGGGTGTCAGTTTTTCATTACAACAACTGCAACCCCATTTTTGAATGGCAAGCATGTTGTTTTTGGTAAGGTGGTCGAAGGGATGGATGTCGTGCGGATGATTGAGAACACCAGAACGACGCGAGATAAGCCCAACCAAGATGTTCTGATTGTGCAATGTGGGGAGATGTGACACAATGATCGAAGGATGTTTTAGCATCAAGTTTCCAGTGGCATGATATTTTCCATTTATGTTATACAGAGATAAAAAGAAAGGAGCCATAAGCATTAAACCCAGAAAAAAAAAAGGTAGCTGTCCTTTCGTGGATTTCACTATCGGTCACTTAAGTTCTGTCAATCCCACTAAATGTTGGCTACAGCATAATCAACAACCTATAACTTCAACTTGCCAAGGTAATCAGAAGCCAAGCTGACAGCTTCGTCGACTCTGTCGGGATTGACTCCATTGCCGACTGAAGTAGCTCCTTTACCTCCCGCCTTTCCCCCGACTGCACCAGAAACGATAGCTGCCCACTCACTAGCGGAGGCACCGGCCTCGCCTGATGACTATACAATCATTGATTGTATTAGTTACAATGACATAGGGCCGGAGTTATAACGATAACGACTTACCTTCGACACGTAACAGCCATGGGCAACACGGCCTTGATCGGTGCTTGCAGCCAAAACGTATACCGACTTCTCGGGTAACTTTGACTTAACGTAATTTAGAGATTCGCTAATCGCTTTGGAATTCGCAGAGATGGGGAGCTTGGCGACAAGCCAACTTCTGTCTTGATTTTCCGGGGCTTGGAAATAATTAGTTATGGTTTCGAGCGCGACTTTTGATTCGAGTTTTTGTAGAGCCTTTTGACCATCGAGAACCTCCTTGTTGATACGTGCGAAACGTTCGCGAAAGGCGGATTTCTGTACAGCAGAAATCGAAAGCTGATTGAGCTCGGCCTGGATCTGCTTTGCCTCCTTCTCCTTTTCTGGAGTTAAGGGCATTGCTTCTAAACGATCAAGCCTTTTTTGGAACTCCGCTGCCAAACGCTGCACTTCATGCGCATCTTCTCCGGTCACAGCGATAATTCTGCGGATACCCTTGGCGATACCGCCCTCTTCCAGAACAATGAGATCTTTAATGTCCCCTGTCTTCTGCACATGGGTACCCCCACAAAATTCAATGCTGACCTCTTTCCAACGCGGATCCTTCACATTCTGGAGTATCTCACCCAGCTCCACACCAACGGAGACAACGCGGACCGGGTCGGGATAAGTTTCTCCAAATACGGCACGAACTCCAGAGATCTCGCGGGCTGTTGCAAGAGGAAGCTCTTGAGAGTAGACAGTACAGTTTTGTCGAATATACTCAGTCGAGATCTCTTCAATCCGAGCCAGATCTTTGTCCGAAATAGCAGACTTGTGAGAGAAGTCGAACCTCAGCTTCTCCGCTGCGACGAGGGAACCCTTTTGCTCCACACCGTCCCCTAAAACAGTTCTGAGCGCAAAGTTAAGAATATGCGTTCCAGTGTGGTTGTTCCTGATCGGCCAACGGCGCAGTTCATCATATTCGCAGATGACAGTATCACCTACTGAGATGGAGCCATATTTCATGAAACCAGTGTGCAGGACGTATCCAGCATAAAGCTGAACATCACCTACTTCAAGCTCGGATTGTCCATCGATGACAATTTTACCCGTGTCATTCTCTTGCCCACCCTGTTCAGCGTAGAAGTTCGTTCGGTCAAGGATAATTCCAAGTTGCTCGCCGTCGGGCACCTCGTCCGTAGATGAATGGAACATCTTGCCCTGGTATATGGCCTTCACTTGGGCGGTAATGTTACCCTTTCCAAACTTGGCAGTGTCATCAGTCTTGGGGACGTCATTCATGGCTTCGAGCTTGCCCAGATCGTGAACATCCAACTTGACCGTCTCAGCGGAAGTTTTCTTCTGGCCTTTGCTTGCTTCCTTTGCTCGCGACCGCGCTTCCTCGAACTCCCGGTCATCGATCTGCAAGCCCCGTTCTTCTGCCATTATACGAGTAAGGTCGACCGGGAATCCGAACGTGTCATAGAGCCTCCAAACATCGGCGCCGTGCAATTTGTCGGCCCCCTTTGCCTTAGCCTGCTGGGCATAATGTTCAAATTGCCGCTCGCCGCGATCCAAAGTCTTAGCAAATGACATCTCTTCTTCGTCTAATATTTCCATGACGTCCGGTTGTTTCCTTCTCAGTTCTGGAAACATATCGCCCAGTTGATCAACGACTGTTGGAACAATCTTTGAGAAGAAGTTGCCGATCTCAACACCAAAATATTTTCTGGCATATCGAGCACCCCGGCGGAGAACACGACGGATGACATAGCCGCGGCCATCATTATTTGGAACCGCACCATCTGAGATTGCAAACATCAAGGTCCGAACGTGATCCGCTATGACACGATAGGCAGTATCAATACCATCAGAATCATCACTACCGAAGGATCCACGGTATTCCCTGGCTCCGGTAACATCTCGAATGGTTTGGAATATGGGAGTGAACACATCTGTATCGTAGTTTGACGACTTATGTTGCAAGATAGACACCAATCTCTCAAACCCCATTCCGGTGTCGACATGCTTGTTGGGCAACGGCCGCAGGGATCGATCTGTTTCACGATTGTATTGGATGAAAACGTTGTTCCAAATTTCCAATACATTTGGGTCATCTTGATTGACTAGATGAGCAGCATTACGTCCACCGATTCGGTCATAGTGAATCTCGCTGCAAGGGCCACATGGGCCTTGATCACCCATCTCCCAGAAATTGTCCTTCATGTTGCCTGGGAGAATATGATCCTCCGGAACGCCAACGGCTTTCCACAGATCTTTGGCCTCGAGATCTGGCTCTAGACCACCTTCCTTATTTCCTTCGAAATAGGTAACGTAGAGACGTCCGGGATCTAAACCGTAGATCTTGGTTAACAATTCCCAAGAATAGCGAATCGCATCCTCTTTGAAATAGTCCCCAAAACTCCAGTTGCCGAGCATTTCAAAGAACGTCTAATAATCAATTGTGCATTAGCATCATAAAAGCCACGGATTTGGTGGCGTTCTCTCACATGATGATAACTATCCTTGCCCACGTCGTCGAGGTCCTACATTTGCGAGAATCAGTAGATGCTCAAGTCTCTTCGACTAACCCAGCCTTTTATTTCTGGTGGCGATCATGCGCATTGCACTTACATTATGCTTTCCTCCTGCGCGAATGCACTACAGGTTGTGTTAGAATTAGCTAAAAATGGTAGGGTTAAAGTACTGACTTTTTGAGTGTTGACTGCACTTTTCAAGTTTGCGAAATCAGAGTGAGGATCCACCGTTCCTAAAAAGATCGATTTGAACTGGTTCATTCCAGCATTGGTAAATAGCAAGGTTGGATCGGAATGAGGAACAACGGGAGACGAGGCAACTGGCGGTTTTGAATATGATCAGTTTTGACCGAGAAATTGCCCCGAAAAGAATACTTACCAAAAGTGTGGCCATTTTCTTTGAAATATTGAAGGAACGTATCACGGACACGTTTGGAGGTCCATTCCAACTTAAGATCATTATCTGAAGCCATACTGAATGGTCTTGTGATGGTTTTTGCAGGCAGAATATTTGAGAGTGGGGGAGTGTGAAGGTGGTAGAATGTTCTGGGTTGCGACCTAAAGGGTGAAGATAGATGAGTCAAAGCCAGTTCCCCCTCCTTTATGAACCTATGAATACGCATCAAGCGAGTCGTCGGTTGTAACATCCAGTTTTATTTAGTTTGAATGTTCACCCTGTCATGTGCAGTACCATAATTAATATATAATTTGATTACCAGATCTATTCCCTCATCCACCAAGAAAGGGGAAGGGTAAAAAAGGTCAGTGGTTGTGTGGCTAATGGCACATGCTGGTGAGGAAATCAATCACGGGAAAAAGCGCCCCGCAGAGAGTTACCCTGAGGGTGATCAGCCTCTGGCAAAGAGATTCGGTCGGTTGCATATCAGTATGTTTCTGCACCATCTATCCTATTATCTGCATTCCCATCACCCTTGTCTAAGATTCACTGGATCTGATTCGAACTCTTTTGCTTGATAAGATACCATAACCTCCGAACATGACATCAGTGACAGGAAGCTTCCTGCTTCCGTCCATCCTGATACCATGTTATTGGACGATACTAAGGATACCATTTACATACATGATCTGGACAGAGAACTAGAGGATATTGAATCAAAGGATAATTGTCTTGAGATCCTTCCCGGAGTTGCTGAGCGGATGTCAACTATTCCGAAGTCATTGGTCGCAAATACTACAAGCCCGTGCAACGAGTTGGTCCTCTACACCGAGCCTACATCATTATCAATTCCTAAGGAGGAGGATAATGTACGAAAAGCGCTGATAGCTACACGGGAGCGCGCTAGGAGAATTCAACATAATTCTCATACGCAAGGTCGGGACTGTACCAAAAGCTCAACCGCAAGCGCGACTACGAGTGGCCGCGGTACCTCAGAAGGGCCTATTGATGTATATGGGGAGCCAATGGAAATTGATGTTGATTGCTGGGGCGGCATTCCGTCTTGAATCTCAATGAATCATGAACATGAGAAATGAGTTTTTCAGTCAAGAAAATTTGGAAGTCTAAAGAATCATAAGCCCGACATACGAGTTATCTTGAAATGACTTTTTTTAAAAATAATCTGTCTTTGTATTTAAATAGATAAAAAAAAAATAAGAAATCATTATAAAATCAGATGTAATATTTTGCAATTTGTGTAATATTCTGTAATGTTTTGTAATGTTTTGTAATGTTTTGTAATGTTTTGTAATGTTTTGTAATGTTTTGTAATGTTTTGTAATCAATATTGTAATAGATAGAAACTTAAAACTCTATAGATATTCTATTGTAAAAATTAAATTGTGAACAAAATATCTACAAAACTTATCAGAACTTAAGAGAAATAATAATTTTATAACTCTTGAATTTTGTGATAGAATAATCTAACCATCAGGAGTAAGGCTACTGATATAATATATTACAGTAGTTATAAGAGCTATGAATTTTTAATGATAATTCTATATTTTATGTTAGGGGTCGCCTCTTGATTCTCAAGGATACATTACCTGTTAGACAAGAAGGAATAGCTGGTATTTAAACAGGATTATAAAAGCTTTAGAATTTAATACATAAATAATAATTAATTAATTAGTAGCAACAAGACTGGCAAGCTAAGTTTATTATAATATAAAAAGCTATTTTATAATATTTTTCTTTTTCTTACCGGGAGAGCTCAGTCAATATATAATTTATTTAATATTTTATTTATTTTTTTTATTTTATTAGAAGCCTGTATAACAGATTTATTAGATTTTATTTTTATAAATAAATATTAAGATTCAGATTCCTGCATATTTTATTCTATAATGATTAAAATTTTTTATTTTATATTTATTTCTCTTTTTTTATATTTTATTTTTTTAAATATATAGAAGACTTAATTCTTTTATATAAATAAAAAATATTTTTATTATATAATATTACTTTATTCTTTTCTTTATTTTTTTTATTTTTCTGTTTCTCAAGTACTTATTTCTTTTATTATTTTGTTAATTATTAATCATTATTGTATATAATTTAAAGTTGTCACGGGGCATACTGGGTGCGCATTCCAGGTACTTCCCGCTGCACCATTAGCAAAAGGACTAGGATGTAAAGCCGATGGCTTTACACTGCGCACACTATATAAGGGTATTCAGGAACAGGATTCAGGCAGGATTCAGGCAGGATTCAGGCAGGATTCAGGCAGGCACCGTGACAAAAGTCCTCTTTTATAATTATTTTGATAATGAATAATAATTTCTTTAATATTATTATAATTATATAAGCAGGCAAGGTGTTCTGCTTTTAAATTTTATAATAAATTAAGTTTAAATCAAAAATTAATATATATAAAAATATAAATTTATTAAAATTTAATATTTAATAAAAATAAAATAAGTAGCTTTTTTACTATCTAGTTATTTATATTTTTATTCTATTTAATTTATTTATTATTCTATAATTACTTTTTCTGGAATTTATTATATTTTATTTTTTACAATAATATTATTAACAAGTTTTCTTTATTTAAATTTAGTATATAAAAAGTAGATATTTCTTAAAATCTATAATTTTAATTTATCTAAGTCTAATAATAAAAGTTATATTTTTTAGTAATTTAAATTATATTTATTCTTTCTTATTTTCTTCTTTTTTTCTTTCTATTATTTTATTAATTCTTTTTTTCCTTGTATTACTTAGTTATATTTTATATTTTGTTTATATTTATTATTATTCTGCTTACTTATTTTTTTTATTAATTATTAGTTTTCTATCTGTTATAATATCTGTTTATATAAATATTATTTATTTTCTAAATATTAATAAAAAGATTTTTATAAGTATCATTAGTTTTTTAGATACTAGTAGGGCCACTCTTAATAATAATGAATTTATTAATTATAAAGTTATTAAAGTTATTAGATTTCTTATATAATTTTTATAAATTTATAAAGAATTTTATGCAAGTACTATCTCTTATTTAACATTAAAATGAATAATTCTTTTTATTGTTAGTTATAGAATATAGTAAATATTTGTAATACTATAATTCTAAAATATAATATTTAATATGTTTAACTCCTGCTACTGTATCTAGAGTCTATAAAAACTATATTAATAATTTTATATATTTATTTAATAATAATATAAGCTTTATTCAATTTTAATAATAATTTTATATTTAATAATATTTTTAATAAATTTTTAATTATTATTAATAATAATATCACTTCTATTTTCTGTTTTATTATTCATTTTAGTTATAGTAATTTTAATTATAATAATACTTCTATTTAATCCAGGTGTTATTTATTTTTTTTATTTAATATCAATTATCTTCTAGTTCTTTATGTATATATTTATATTAATTTAATAATTTAAAAGAAATAATATAAGTTGTGTATAATTATACAGAATATACTAAAAATATACTAATTTTAATTATAATTTTTTAAAATATTTAATATATGTGCGTAGCAGTAATATTTTAGAATATTTCAATTAGTTTTTATAAATTTTAAATATAATTAATTGATTTTATTTAATAATAAAGCTACTATCCCCTCTTTTTGAAATATTAGATTTTTTTAAAATAATTTTCATTAAATATTCTTTTTTTCTATTACTATATAATATTAGAAGTTATTGATTATTTCTTCATGTGATAGAATAACCCAGCTGTCAGGGCCTTAGACATCGGGATAATGTATTATAGTAGTCCTGGAAATCATAAGGTCATTAATAGTAGTTCTATATCTTATTAATATCTAAAAGATACTGATTTCTTTATAAAGAACTACTGATCTCTCAAGAATTAATCTACTTCGTGGATATAGACTATCTTTATTATTATAAAATAAATTTATTATATTTAATAATTAATTTCTTATTTAGTTGACAGGTTTTTTATCCTGATAAGTAGATTTTATTATATTCTGATTTTTTATTTTTTATTATCTAAGAAAGATGCCACCTTTTAAAGATAGTAAAGAAAAAGAAATATTTAATAATTATATTAATTTTAAATTATTATTAAATACTATTTCTACTACTGAGAAAATCTAATAATTAAAAGATTATATTTATTAATTAGAATAAGCTACCAGCTTATAAAGAAGAATAATTTATCTTTAAAAAAATATTTTTCTGGATAAAATCTTCTCTAGATACTACTAATTTTTTTTAACTAGAAAAGGATAAAAAAGAGATTAAATTTAAAAATATTCTTTATTTTATTTTAAATTTAAATCTTTAAAAATATTAAAAATAAATTATTAATTAAGAATACATGTTTCAGGAGACTCTTAAAAAATATTTATTAAAAAAATATAAGATTTTTATTATTATTAATTATATAAATCCTGTATACAGGCAGAGATAATATTATTTTATTAATAATAAAAATCTAGAAATAAGATAATTTCTTAAGAAATTATAATTTTAATTTAAGAATTAAATTCTTATCTTAATCTAAAATATTAATACTTTTTAATTAAATATTATAATTTAACTTAAACAGGCTTACTAGTAATATAATTAAGATTTAAAAGAATTTCATATTTATTTTAATATTTTAAAGCAATACTTCTCTTATTAAATAAAAAAAAGAATCTTATTATATTTTATTAAATTATTATTTAATTTTAATCATTATATTTAAGAATATATTTTCTATTTACTAGAAGAACAGGATAAAATAGTAACTATTATTATCTATTATTATAAATTATAGAGTAATGAATATAAACTATAAAGTAATAAATAAAAATATAAATAAAATAATAACTAATTTAGTAATTATAAATTATATAAGTATCTTTAAGATTATTCTAACAGACTAACTAAAGAAGATATATCAAATTATAAAAAAATCTTACTAGAAGAGATAATAATTAATTATAATACTTTATATATAATAATATCTAGTATCTTGTAAATTAATATTTTATTAAAAATAAAAAGATTTAATTTATCAAAATCTACTAATATTTATCAGACTCTGAGAGAAAAGTAAAGAAGTTAAAATAAATTTTATAATTTTAATTTTTTTATTTACAGTAAGAACTATCTATTATTTTTATATTTTTATTTATATTTAAAATAGTCTTAAAATCTTTACAGACTTAGATAATTATTTTAAAGTAAATATTATTAGCTATTAATTTATTAAGGCTCTTAATATATTCTAGTTATTATATTTAAAATTAAAGCTATTAACTAAATTACTACTTTTATTTATAATATATAAAAATTTTTTATTATTATTACTGATTTACAGGAAAATACCTGTACTTTTAAGTAATATTATATAAAAATTAATTAGAATCTTCATTTAAAAAGCAGTTCAATTTTATTATTAATAATTATATTTTAAGATTTTTATATTAATTTATCAGTATAGAATTGATAATAGTAGTTCAGTATATTATTTTTTTATTATTTAATTTAATAAAGTAATCCAGAATTTAATAAGAATAGATATTATTATTAAGTTTTTTGAAGATATTTAACTACTAGAAAAGAAATCTTTTAATTTATTTTTAAATTCAGAGATAATCTTAATTAAATTTCAAGAATTCTAAGATATATATTTTATTTTTTTCTTTTTATAATTTCTTTCTTATAGCTCTGCAGATTATATTATTAATATTAAATCTAATAAAATATTTTTTTTAATATTAAAGATACTTAATACTGAATCTATATTAAGAAAAATAATAAATAAAAGATAATATTTTATACCTGATACAGCTATTTTAAATATATTATTTTATTATTTAGATTAATTAATATTTTTATAATATTCTAAAATTATATATATATAATACTTTATAGGCTCCTTGATAACCTTTATATAATATATTTAAATAATATTCTTATCTTTTTACTAGATAAAGAATTTTATATAAGATATATTTAATAAGTACTAGAAAGACTAAGAAATTTAATTTTATATAAAATTATTTAAATATCTATTTTATTAATTCTAAGTTAAATTTCTAGAATATATTATTAATACTAATAGAGTATCTATAGATCTTTAATAAATAAATAATATTATTTTATAATTAATCTTTGAAAATTATTATAATATCCAG